TATCTTATTTTAGTTTCTAATACACTTGGGAGATTCCATGGCTTCCAAAACTTGTGTTTCTCTGATCTTTGTTTTCCATCTTGGAAGTTAGATTACTTTTGCTTTAATGAGTGGGGGAACTAATGTGGGCTCACTTATAAATTAACTGATTCAGTGTTATTGTGCGGCAAAGAGTTCACTGCAGGATAGTTCTTGGTGATTAGCCCATGGGTGGTTATTATGTGCTGTTGGAGATCATTATCTAGTGAAGCTGGAGTTTTAAGGAGATGTTATGACATGAAAATCCCATTTATACAATAGTCAGATTTGTGGTTGAGCCAATAACATGCTCCAGGTTGGGAATCTTTACTGCAGCATGGGCTTGTGTAAAAGAACTTGGTCTTTCTGGTGATTGGCAAGGGTCATGTAGTTCAATTTGAAAGAGTGCTAGGTGATGATTCATTACATTCAGTCTATTGATGATCTGATGTAGCAATGCTTGAAAGCTTTTGATCAATGTTACCAGAAAACACTACTACTCTAGCAAATTACGTTTTGGAACCCACATTTTGAAACATGGTACATTTTCGTTCCAAAATGGTAAATTTAGCAATCCAAAGTGATCCCAAAAGTTTTTCCAATATATTTCCTTATGTTGGGTTAGGTGGTAGTTACATTACTAATATTATTAAAAGATGGGAAATTCTAACACCTACTCTAGCAAATTACGTTTTGGAACCCACATTTTGAAACATGGTACATTTTCGTTCCAAAATGGTAAATTTAGCAATCCAAAGTGATCCCAAAAGTTTTTCCAATATATTTCCTTATGTTGGGTTAGGTGGTAGTTACATTACTAATATTATTAACCAAATGGAGGTAGGGAACTATCAAAATTTGTGGAAGGAGGTGTTTCTCTTTTTTCTTTTTTTATTCTTTTCTTTATGTTGTAATTTTTGTAAGGTGAAGTATGAGGCTTGATGCCCTTTGGCTGATGTAATTTTCATGGTAATTGGAGATAGCGAGATACACTAGAATGCCAGAATGATTAAACTAGTGAGATGGAGTGCATGCAGTTTAAGGAAAGTTGATTTCCGTTTGATGTTGGTATTATTGGCAATCAGTCTGGTGGAGTCTCTCTCTCTCTCTCTCTCTCTCTCCCCTAGTTGGATCTAAGGATGTTTCTTCACTGACAAGCTTATTGGCTCCCTGTGATTCCTTTTGAAATTTTCAGCTTGCATCTATGCCTCTTGGTTTGTGCACTATGCTAAAGGTTAGGTGTGTACCCAATCTTTTCCCTCCCAAACACACATTCATGTGTGCTGATTGAGCGTTGTTTTTTTATCTCTGTCTCTTGGTTTGTATCACCAAGCAACAATGGCAAATGCTGCCTTGTAACTACCTTATTCTTTAGAGTTAAGCCAACTGTTACGGTTCTTCTCATAATACATTTATTTCATTATGTTGTAAATCATTATTATTATTTTTTCTTTTAAGATGTGAAAATTGGATGGAGTTACAGAATGCTTGCAAATTCAAGCAATGAATGCAGTTGCAATGAATGCAGTTGTTGGTTATACTCATTTGGTGCTCTGACTTGATAGTTCTGTTCAATTGGTTTTTTTAATTTTTTATGCACAAGTTTTTATCTACAAGCTGTAATGCGTATTCTCCTCTCTCTCTCTCTCTCTCTGCTAAGCGATAACAGGTACTTGATGCATGAAAATAGAGATTTCACATTGAGTCCAAAACTCTGCTTAAGGATATGTATACGGCTATGAATGTGTGTGATTATGTAATGAAGTTTCACAATGACAGCTTATTTGTCCTGTTGGATTTTGAGGCATTAGTGGTATTTATTCATGCACACAGACATGGTGTTTTCTTGCTTAGTGACCTTCATGCTATGGCAGAACGTAAAATATTCAATTGGTCTCTTTCCTTTGTTTTTGTTTTTTTTTTTTTGGGAATCATTGATCCTAATTTATTTCCTCGCTTTGTGGCACTCATCAGAATGTCAATTTGTTGTTGAAAGTTTGTTAGAGCTGATATTCTTCATCCTTTCCAATCGAATTAATACTATGCAGTGCATTAATTAAATCGTTGATTTCTTGTTCAAGCTGTGGGGATGATGATTTTGACAATTCATGTGTGAGGGAAATGCTTGTAGATTTTTAGAGCAGGCTGTTTTTTTCATGATTATTGTTACCTAGAGAGACTGACAATAACATAGGGTTTGTAAATTTTATACCTCGGAAAAAATGCTTGAAATGATGGGGATCAGAAATGAATTGGATGAAGATAAGCTGAAGAAGATAGGAATATTAATGTAATTAGAAATTATGGCTTTAGTAGAATTATATTTATTCATTATCTAGTTTCCTAAGTAGGTAGTTCTTATGACTATATATAATGCTCGTGTATAGATTTTAATTAGATTGATTTGGATGTTTGATAATTGAAAGCTTTTGTATTATTGTTTCTCTTTTGGCTGAATTCTTAGTTGCAAGAATCGCCTACCAGGGGTGACGTTTTGGCTCATGAAACATGATTTGTGGTTCAGAGCAGGAATCTTTCTAGAATGACATTTCCGTCCAGATAGAATCATGGTTATGACTAGCATGGGACTACTTAAACATATGAATTGCAAAAAAAACTTTTATAGAACGCATTTTTATCCTATAATTGGCTTTGGTTTTAGTAATGAAAGGATGTAGATTTTTTGATAGATCTGGCTTTGCTCTTACCAATGAAAGAATGTATATTTTTTGATAGATCTTTCAATGTGGGTTTCATGAGGAGTGGGAAGTAAAAATATATGTCATCAATGATGTGTTGTTACTTTTGCAATTAGGATTTACTATGCTTATAGTGTTTTGTAGGCATATATATATATATTTCAACTAAAAAGTGCACCTAGTTTAGTCTCCGTTAGATGGGCGGTTTGGGAGGAGTAGATTGGGTACAAATCTAATCTTTGCATAATTTGGAAAGAAAAATAAAATAAAAAATAAGAAATGCAATAAATTATACCTTTAAATATAAATAAATAAACGCTTCCTTAGCCACTCTCAATCTTAGGTTTCTATGTGCCCTCGCTCCTCCATCTCTCCCCCGCCTAGCCCTCTATTGCTTCCGCTTTGGGCAAATAATTCAAATTCTCCTTCCTCCTTGTTCTGGTTCTACAACAATGCTATTATCTTAATATGAAATATAGGAGAATAATAATAATTGAATGACCTTTGAAGGAGGTTTTCTATCCTTCTTTTCAATTTTGATTTGTTAATGTAGTCTTTCCTTTTTGGTTGATAAGCTTGATGTTGGAAAATTCTTTTCCCTAATGCTTCGTAGGAAAACTATCCCAATGTTATGAATTCACAAGACATGGGCTTTTAGTGGTGAAGTATTGTATGTGTATTTGATTTGGCGGTAAATTACACTTTGGACCCTTGCGCTTCACATCAAAACCATTTTGGTCTCATTTTTCAATTGTAACAGTCAATCCCCTGCACTTTTTAGTCAAGTTGCAGTTTGGCCCTTCCGTTAGTTTGGTGTTAAATTGCCTAATGCAAATTGTCATGTGACCCTCACATGAGGCATTTTTTTTGTGGCAAAAAAAATATTTTCTTTCAATTTCTACTTCTATATTTTATCACAACATTTTCTTTCTCCATTGTGGAAATTCATTTCCCAAAGACTTTCACAGTTCTCCCAATTCATTCGGTTTAATTTGGGAAATGGGGATCAAGTTTGTTTTTGGGTGGTGTTTGGAGGGGTGATATATCTCTTGCTAGTTTGTTTTCTCGTTGTATCGTTTATCTCAATCTCATGGTGCCCCAGTTGTTTCTATGGTTATATCATCGTGTTCCTTCCTCCCCCTCTCCCCCCCCCCCTCTCGATTCTCCATTTCTTTCGAAATCGGAAGCGTAATCCTTCTCTAGATAGTTATTAGAATTTTACGATTCACGATTCATGCATAGATGATTGAAGCAAATTTTTATTTTGAGAACATTGATAGTGAGTCACGTGATTTACAATTCTATTTATGATTGTGATTCTTTCGATTCTTTTTTACTTTGTGTGTGTGTGTGTGTGTGTGTGTGAGACATACTTCTAAAAGAGTGGTTAGTACGAAAATAACCGATACTTTTGCATGATTTGATGTTTTAATGGCAATAAGAGAGTTTAATAGGACCTAGTTGGATCTAATCAAACCTGACAAGTTCTTAACCCTTGTTTTCTCGTTGCCTTTTAATAAACATTGTTAAAACTCATCTTCTAAGGATATTAAGGATAAAATAACTTGCACCTATAATTTAATAAACATCGTTAAAACTCATCTTCTAAGGATATTAAGGATAAAATAACTTGCACCTATAAAATATCTATTTTTACTTTGGTGGAATAAACTTGGTTCAATATGATATGGGTTTGGACAGTCAGAAGCAGGGGTTCCGCAATTTGTTTAAACTTTTTCTAAACAATATGCAAATACACATTTTAAAGTTTCTTAGGTTTCCACTAAAGGCTTCTCACTCAATTTTTCTTCTTATTCAACTCTATTTAGGATTTATATTATTGGTCCATTTTTGGATGTTGAGAGAGAACAATATCTTGCTATGTAGGCAATGTCTTCCAATTTAGATGTCGTAATCATGTCCTTATATTTTTATATGTGCCAAAATTAATTTATTTTATTTTCTTTCCTATAGACGATTGTTTTAACATATATATATTTTTTTATTTATTACTTTGTCGTATTTATGATTCTTGATTTGACAACTATGCTCTTCTATACTCCTTTGGTCACATTTTCTTTGAGGAATTTTTCCCCGTTAATATTTTTGATTTGTTTAATTCAATTATACATCTTTTATGTGGGTTTTTATTGCCAAATCCAAACTGATTGAGTTTGTCACAGATAAGCTATTGACTTGGTCTTTTGGGGATTTTAGCGTGCTTGGGATATAAAAGTTGGTCCTTTACATGTTTATTTATTTATAATCTTGTGCTTTTTGTAGGTACATTTGTCCGTCTCCATTAAATGGCACCACCATGTCATCTCCTTGTGGGTTAGTTGGTGCCATGTGGTGCCTCTTGGGGCTACACGTTGGCTATTAGTGAATCTCCACACACCTCTTCAGTTAGCTCCAAATGACCAAGGACAGGACAAACTGATTTCCATTGCCAAATCTCCTACCATGGATCTCCTGTAACCAATCTCCTGTAACAAATTTTCTTAAAGAGATTGGCCAAAGGACTTGGCCAAACCCAAAGCAAGCTGGGAGTATGGCCTGGACTCTCGAATGGGATCATTGGAAGATTGTGACTTGGAGGCTAGAGTCAATAGATTGTCAGGGTTACTTGACTCATCCTTTGGGGCGGTCCCTTCTTGACCAGTCTTAGAGAGAGAGAGGCGTTGACCAAAGACATTTAACATTGTATTGCTGTGGTAAAAAATTCCACTCTTTGTCAGACAAAGAGGATACGTGCACAAAAGACTCCTTGCACTGGAGTTCCCTAGGACAAGAGATTATGCAGTAGAGATCCCTGTCCTGGAGATCCTGTGGCATAGATCCTTGTCCTGGAGATCCCTAGGACAGGAGATCTTGGCACAAACATATGATGGCAGGGATCCCAAGGGGATTAGGCCATCTGTCCTATAAAAGGGAGTCTCTCCGTTTATCTTCATCAAGCCTTCTCCAACTATCCTTCGGCAAGATCAGAAGTATCTCCACTGCCATCTCCTCTTTTTTGCTAGGGCTGCCTTGGCTCTCTCCTTCTCCACCTACAGGTATCCATTGCCAATTGTGTTCCTACCATCTTCTCAGATCACCACTACCTCTCCACACTATCCGCACCTTTTCATCTGGGAAGGGGGGAAAGGGGTAATATCAATGCAGTGGCAGGTGGCTGCTTTCTTTATCTGAGTTGTGTGTGTTGGGTGGAATTGGTGTTTGTAGATCCATTTTTAGAAGTGGATATGGTGTTGTTCCTGTAGTGATAGTTTGATGCTTGTTGGACATATGTTAGACTATGTTCTCCTTAATCAGCTTTTCTTGATATTTTTTATTTTTTTTTTGTCCACTACATTGGTTTTGTTGTGTTGGGTTTCCAACCCATGTAGAGATCCTAATAAAATTAAAAAATGTTTGTCTTTAAAGTGTGGTAGTATTCTTAGACTATATTCATTATATGCCAAGGATTGTGAATGGCTCTTGAATTCTTTTAAAAATTGTTGAGTCTTGCAAATGTATGGAATGGCTGCTTGTTTTTATGATTTGTTGATATGCTTCTTCTCTAATTTGCATGTCATTCTTGGATTTTCTTTGAGTAATTCTATTTGTACCCTTGTAACTTCTAATTCTGAATTCTTGAGAAGCTGTGTGATATTTGAATTGGGTTTTTTTTTCTTCTCCTGATTGTAGTAAGATATGGAGGTTATTAAATTAATTAGAGGCATTTGGATCTAACCATGGTGAGCCAGCCTAATCAACCTGTAGGAGTCATTAAGTTAATGGAAGAATTGTGGAGTCTCTCTCTCTCTAACACGACGTATTATTAGTGGGAAAAATTATTGATCATTGAGATCTATAATACTATGAAAATGCCGGGATCAATCTCTTTAAAGGGTTAAACAGGTCATCTTGTGGCAACATGTTGTGATCTACTTATGCTCGATACAACTTATGTTTGATGTGAAGGATTTAGTTGAAGGTGAGAAGCATTATTGATCATTCAGATAATATTATTTGTAACTATTTATATTGGTACACAATAATGTATCCATGCGTGACATATATATAGCTCAGGGAGAGTTTTGATATGAAACAGGATTGAGACATTAGATTGGACACCAAAAATCTGCCTTGGAAGATAGCGTTCAATAAGGAAGTTTTAACCTGTTTATAAGTATATTTTTATGGTTCTTATTAAGGATTTTTTTTCAACTTGCACGTACAAGATAATGTGTGTGGACGTTTTACTGTTGCTTTTAGTGGCAGATTTCAATTAGACATGTCCTATTTGCAATAGTGCTATTGCATTTGTAGTGATAAATACAATGGAGTCTTGGGAGCATACACTTATCTTGCCTTCTTGAGGCATTTCTACGAAAATGACTTTGATCTTTGGGATTATGTTTATGAGCAGGTCGTGTTTTTCTTACTTTTTGAGGCTTCAGAACATAAATTACCCTGAACATTAAGGTGACATATGGGGCATAGACAAATGTTTAACACAGCGCAAATGTTTGAGGCTGACAATGATCAGAGCTGGAATCATGTGCATCCAGAGCAACCTTACTGCCATTTGGGTATTGAATCTTTCAATCTGTTTCTCTTTCTCATATATCCATTGTTATCCCCCTGTTGCTATGATTTTTAGGGTCCTACTAATCATGATCATATACCATAAAAGGATATACAAAACCATAGAAAAGAAATGTTCCATTTCCATGCATGCATGGATTGTAACTCATAGCAGTTTCTGATGGAACTTTGGCCTCACCTTGTAAGCATGCCTTTGTAATGTAGGATATGGCTTTAGCCCCTGCATAGGCTGATAAATTTGTTAGGCTGCCTCATAATGATAGTTGAGTGATTCACTCATTGCATTGTACTTGGCAAGGCAGTTACAAAAGTAGTAACTTTCTCTTTTATGTAAAATTGGGACCATCCTTGTGCCTTGATGCTGTGTGCTCTGACTGTAACTGAAGAACTTGAAATGATCCATACAAACACGAGGAAATCTTGTCATGATCGACTTAGAGTAATTTACACTTAGATAACTCTTTATATCGACTAATGCTCGTACTTGTCTATTTTTTTATTGCAGCAAGGTCTGGAGCTGACGAAAACAGTTCTCTTGTTTATCCTGTTGAAAATATGTCCATAGATGGCGTACATTATGCTTCTCACTGGAATCCTGCTCCAAGGTCAAACGGGTTTCCTTCCTCAAGTCATTGCATTGAAGTGCCACATTTTCAAACTGATGCTTCAGGTCCATCTCATGATCCTTTCCTGCTTCCATCTGCTGCTGGAAGCTTCTCTATGGCCCCTGAAAATTACGCACACCATGCCTCCTCATCCGATTATGGGGGACAAATATTTCATGGAGTTGAAGGTGGTTTTGTTGATGTTACAATGACCAATGGAAGAGGAACATACAAGCGAAAAAGCCCCAGTGTTCCTGCAGTCTGTGAGAGAGGCAGTTCAAGCGGATACTATAATTCTGGAAATCCGCCCGATTTGTCCTCTGACACATGGCAGGAAAAACCGAATACTGATTCTCATCATGCACCTTGGGATTGCACTACCATCGGCTCTAGTTATAGAGGCAACAGCCTCTCGATTGGGGGTGAGGCTACTCTGAGGAATGTGAGAAGCAGAGCTGCAGTTGATTTGGAAACCAATCTGGCTAGGACCCATTTGTCAGGCAATCCTTCACACCATTCATATACAACTGGCAACTTTGCTGATCACTCTGGGTCAGTGGAGCTTATGGGTCAGAGTTCTAATATGCCAATACGGGACTGGAGCCATATTCACATGTCTCCTGTTGCTCATGGGAGGATTCCACTTCCAGGTTAGTTTCTATTGTCTATGTTTATGTCCTTGTATTATGTTTCCCATTTTTCTGGAAGTTTTTTATTTTTTGGTGTGTTCGCATGTGCAAATTGCAGATGCTAATGTTTTCAGTCATGAGACAAACCACTTTATTATAGGAAGCAGTAATACTAGTGCTGCTGTAGAGATTGGGGGGTTTCATAACGATATGATTTCAAGCAGAACTCCTATACCTCAAAATTTGCAAGGGACCTCAAACCACTCTGTGAGGGGAGTTAGAAGCAATTATACACAAAGATCTGCCCCAACTTTTAGAGAAGCTTCTTCGAGCAGTTTGCACTTGGGACACACACCAGCTTCAGATGAGGGGTTGCAGTTAGTTGCAGAAAGTTATTCATCCAGACATCCAAGGCCATTGTCCACCGTAGGATGGCGTAACAGTGACCGAAGTGGAAGAACAAGGATATCAAGTGATAGATACCGATCACTTTCTGATGAGGCAGGTCTCCGTGGTAGACTGGCACCTGAGGTATGCATTGTCTTTCTTAAGGAACTTATCAATTGGTTGATGCAGTAGCCTCTCTAAAGTCAATGCAATCACAAGCTTTTCACCAGTCACATGCCACATAATTTTTCAGTAGTTTGCTACCATCATTTTTCTGAAAATGGAAGAGTGCTTAAGTAATATGCCTGCATGATTTCTCTTCATGGAAGGAAGCCATAGTGAGAAACTGGTGACTACAATAGTTCAAGGGGGCAGAATAATGAGTCAGTGTTTGTCTATTTTGAATTTGTAGACTGAGCATATCAGCAAACCAACTTAAAAGAAAAGAAAGAAAAGATGCAAGTATGGTGGGCTAGTCATGTGACATATTTTAAAGGTGTGATCTAGCCATGTAGGGGACCTAATCCGTCCACAAGACGTATAAATTTGATGAGAGGCAGATTAATCTGATTTTGGGGGCGGGCTCCTCTTTTTTCCAGTGCACCAGAGAGAGTGAACAGATTTGCCCAGTCCATATGTTCTAATTTTGGGAGGGTGGATTGGTGGACACCCCTAAGGAAGACCATTTTTGCTTCCCTAGGGCCATAGGAATGATTCCGGGCCTGAACAATTAAAATACACCTATTTTTATATGATTAAAGGCTGAAATCTGTTATACGTAAGAGGAATTTAAAGAAGGATATTGACATGGGCAAGGAAGGAGTCCTCTCTTGACTCTTGTCATTTCAAAAATTTCAGTTTTTACACTTCTGCTCTTGCTTGATTCTGGGGCATGATAAAATAATCATGGCCCCAGGATTGTTTTTTGTTTTTTTTACTCCAAAACTGAAACATCTAATGTTTCTTGGAAATCGACATGAAAAAAGTGGAGAAGATGAAATTCCAGAGTTTTTTCCCTTGAAAGACACAGAAATCAATTGAAGCACATTGAGAGAGTGAGTTGTGTTTATGCCAATTAGGAATCTCTGATAAAATTTATATTTGATTTCTTAATCCTTTTTTAAGTAAGAAAATAATACAAGGTTGGAAATTTTCTCTTTAGATTTGTACAAGAATCTAGGAAAGTAGAAAAGAGAATAGGAGAGGAAACAAGAAGAAGAGGAAGAGGAGACGCTTGAGCGACCAATGGTAGATTAGAGGCTGAGAATATTTATCTTTTTAACTTTAAATATTTATGTGATCTTTGTCTCAACATTTTTCTGAATTAATATTTGTTGAAACTAGACCTTTATAACACTGCTTCAACCTGTACTTCCTTATGTTTGTCCTTGGAATGGAATCTCCCTGCCTTCCCAAAGGTGATCCTTTAAGCCCTTTTTTTGTGTGTGTCAGTTTTGTCATCTTCTTCTTCTTCTTCTTATTTTTTATTTTTTTGATCTTTGTCTCAACATTTTTCTGAATTAATATTTGTTGAAAATAGACCTTTATAACATTTCCCCGTGCATTTATTATCCAACCAATTTCTAGATGTCAATTGGTTTGGACCTAACACATTTTAGAATAGTTTACCCTTGCATTTGATAACAGTGTATTTTAACAATTTCGGTTTGCATAACATCTACTTTCCTATTCTACTCTTTTTGTGTTTATATGAATAGATGAATAGACCTCAAAACATGTTCAACTAATCAGTTTTTGTGCTTAATAATGCATAGATGAGCCTTAGCTTATATTTGCAAACGTTTTTGTGATTTTACATATCTTTTTTTTTTTTTTTTGGATTCCCGTAATGTTTTTAAGACGTTCTTGTTTCCAAACTGATTGACATAACAATGGGAAACACAATTAGATTGTGATCCTTATGTGCCCATAAGATTATTTTATTTTTTCTATACGTATGACTTCTTTGCCCAGATTGAATTTTGCTTGTTGAGATCTAGATTTGTCCGTCTTTGTATGATGCCTGATGTGATAATGAAGTTATTATTGTGGTATGACTTTTGTCCTAAATATTGGTTTTCTATTAGATGCACTCTAATGAAACAAAACTTGGAATATTGATGGATTATTAACTTCACGAAGATGAATTATAAACTGAGTGGAGAAATTTTTTTTTTTTCCTTGCCAAGATGACGGTTGTTATTACTTGAATGCTCATCTATTTCTTGCATAACATTTGAAGGTTGCGGAAAAATATTTCTTTCATTATAAATAACATTCAATTGCTAATATATTGTCAAAAATTTTCCTGGGATCGAAGTTTATGTGTTCAATGGTAAAATCTTGACCTAATAACCTTGAGGTTATGGTTTCAAGTCACCGGACAACCATTTTGTGTATTATGCCAAAGGTTAGGTGTGTATCCAATTTTTCTCCTCCCAAACACACATTAATGTATACTAATTGGGGCTTTTTTTTTTTTTTTATCACTATTTTTTTTTTTTTTTTTGGAAGTTTATACCTTAATCTATTGTTTAAGCTGAAGTAATTTGTTTGATATGGGATGCCCGACGTCAAGAAATGTTGATTTTGACCTGGTAGTAGTCGCTGATATATATGTGGATATATATTTTTGATGTTTTTGCAGGGCCTTATGATTGTGGATCGCTCAGCCTTGTATGGGTCCAGAAATTTGTTTGATCAGCATAGGGACATGAGGCTAGACATAGACAATATGAGCTATGAGGTTACTATCAGTTTACCTCCCCTATTTACTTCATCTTGTTCCTGATAGCTCTCAATTAATCTGAAATTATTGGCATGAGTAGGAACTACTTGCACTAGGGGAAAGGATCGGAAGTGTCAGCACAGGCGTGTCAGAAGATCTGATCTCCAAGTGTTTGACTGAATCAATTTATTGTTCTTCAGATCAATTCCAAGAGGAAGGAAAATGTGTAATCTGCTTGGTAAGAACTAAACCTTGTGCTGACAATGCTCTCTCCCTGGGTTTGCTGGAGACTGGGCTGTTAAAGCTTAGGTGGGGTTTGGGATTTGCTAAAAAAGTTATTTTTTGTTAGTGGGATAGTAGACTTTTTGGCATGGCCTCGATTGGCAAGTGGCTTTTTTAGCCAAAAAGTCAAAAAGTTACTAAAAAAATCAAAAAGTTAACAACCCATACCAAAAAGTCAAATATTTTCTTTTCTCTTTACTTTTTGCACATCTTTTCATAAAAAATCAGAAAGTCATCCCAAACATACTAGTTTTTTTTAGCTTATATTTTAGTCAAATAGTCAAAAAGTTACTAAATTAGTCTGTTCCCAAACGAGGATAGTTTTTAGCTCTTCCCAGACAGGCTTTTGCTTTTTGGCCTGTTTAGCAAAAAAGCAGCTTGTACCAACGATGCTACCTCCATGTTACATGGACTTGAGTGCAGGTGTCACGTGTGGGAATGAGTTTTTAGATCTTTCAAGATTAGACGGACTTGAAAAGTAAATTTTTACATAAATTTGAAAGAGTTCAAAAAAAAAAAAAGAAAAAGAAAAATTGACTGGCCTTGTTCGGGAACAAGTTAAATTAGTCAAAAAGTTAATTTAATTTTTTAAATTAGTCAAAAAGGTAATTCAATTTTTTTACTTTTTTAAAACTACTAAAAAATTCAATTCCCAAATGAACCTCTGTAGCTGTTTTATTCTCTAACTACTGGTTCTGACCCCATACTTGTGTTTGACAGGAGGAGTACAAGAACATGGATGACGTTGGGACGATGAAAACTTGTGGTCATGATTTCCATGTAGACTGCATCAAGAAATGGTTAGAGATGAAGAACTTGTGTCCAATCTGCAAAGGTTCTGCTCTTGCTGATCACATGAAAGAGAAATGACATTATTATTTATTTCAGTTGATCTATAGTTTGGTTGGTTGGTTTCATTCTTGTAAATATAATCCCTGGAAATTCCTCAAATGGAGGAAGCAAGGGGGGGGACATGTTTTATGGAATTTGTAAAGGGAATGCTTGGTTAATCTCAATCAATTTGTCCAATTGCTGCAAAATTTAAAGCCTTCTTAATGTTCATACTGTCAGCCACACTTGAATTAGAACATGAAAATTTAAAAATGTTGAAAATGCAGTAGGCAGCATTTTTACGACAAAGCTAGAGATCCGCCTAGGTCACCACTGCCTCTCACCTTACCTGATGGACCCATCAAGTGATTTGATGTGGGAGAGGTGGCGAAAAAGGTGATGTCCAGGGGATGTTTGTATACTTATGTTTAGGGTGAAGATGGGAGAGGTAGCAGTGACAGAAGGGTGAAGGAGGAACTAGAGGTAGGGTGAAGATGGGAGGTGACGGTGGCGGTGGTGGTGAAGGGTGAAGGAAGAGCTAGAGGTTGTGGTGATCTAGTTGTTGAGAGGTCAAATGGTCTTTGTAAAAGTAGATTGTCTTTAATATATTTTTTGATAATTCTACTTGCATCACATATTTAACCCACACTTTTTTATTACACCACTTTTTAGGTGGCTCTAAGCTCTTTTTGTTTTTTTTTTTGGTTGAACACCCTCAAAACAATTCAATTAATTTCATTTTAATCCTCACACCCGCCTTCTGTACCGTTGCACTCGAGCTTTTTTCGTCGTCTTCGGATGACTACCATCGCCTCTTTCGCTGTTGCCCCCATCTTCTATTCTTCTTCTTCTTTCTCTTGAAATCCTAGCCGTTGTCGTTCATCTGTTGCCCCCATCTCTTCTTCTTGAAACCTTAGTCACCATCATCCGTCACAAATTTAAGGTTTTAGAAGGAAGAGAAGAAGAAGAAAGTTGCTCCCATCTCTTTTTCGTCTTCTTCTTCCCGAAACCCTCGCCACCATCGTCCGTCGCAAATCTAAGGTTTTAGAAAGAAGAAGAGAAGAAGAAGAAGAAGAAGAAGAAAGGATTGGGAAATGAGATTTGCAAAGGAAAGAAGTCGTCACAAGGAAGGAAGTGGCAATGAAGGAAAGGAGGAGCGGTGGAGATGGCAGTAGTGGCGGCGGCAGCAGTGACGACTAGGGCATAAATATATATATACATATATATATATATATATATATAGAGAGAGAGAGAGAGAGAGAGAGAGAGAGAGAGAGAGATTTAAGGGAGAATAGTGAACATTACCAAAAAAACACAAATCTTATACTGTATAACGATTTGGATCATAGTTCATCATTTTATACAGAAAAACACAATAAAGAGAGTGAGTGGAGAGAGAAATGTCTAATTTTGCTCTCAATCAATCAACCATCAACCGTGATTTCTCTATATAAACAAATGAAATGGACCATAGGGGAGCGGAGGAGAGGTGGGAATCTAGGGCTTATACAACCCTTATAAAGCAATATATGTGTGTGCATATATATATACTAGCAATTAAAACTGTTAAAACGACGTCGTTTTGACATGTTTTGCACCCAAAATAACATTGTTTTGCACCCAAAACAACGTCGTTTTGACAGTTTTGAGCCATTGTGTTCACAAAAATTATAGTCCTCTAGCATTGTTGGTATATACAGTATGCTATGCATAGTGGTGACTCTAGAAAATTTTTCTAGTGTGTTCATTGTGTGTATTATAGGAATTTTTTTCATAGTACATTCAAAAATTTAATTTTTTTTAGAATTTTCAAACCACAAACAAATAAATAAAAAAAATAAAATTATAATATATTGATATCATTGTTTCAAAAAATAAAATGTAGATACAAAAATTTACATAAATATATTTTGTTTTTATTACTAGTATGATAAAAAAAAATGAAGCAAGCGTCTTTAATTTAAATTAGGATAAGTTATAAAATTGTTGATCAATATCAACATTCAAATGATACACTTGTTGGAAGTTATAAAATTACACAATTTTGTCAAAGAGGTACTTTGTACAGTCTGAGAAAGCAAAACTTTAAAATATGTTGTATATTCACTTCACAAAACATATATATTAGTTAAAGAGTTATGGGTTGGGTTAGGTTGGGTGTTCAAGAAAGCGAGTTTGGATGGTGTTTAACTGAATTGGGTGTTCAACATAAAATTTTGGACTAAATGCGCTATTGACTATGCAAGTGTTAAGAGTTTTGTTTATTAAAATTAAGATTTAAAGTTTGAGTTTTACTTTTATCAACTATATATATATATATATATATTTTTTAAATATGAAAATAAGAACACGTCATATAAAGAGAATTCATCAAAATTTACGCATCAAATAAATTGTTGATTTTTAATAATAGGATAGATCGATTGACAAGAAAGAAGTACACTGCATAATCTCCCACAAATCCTAGCAAGCACTTCCACAATGGAGGATCCAGCAGTACCAAGGACGTGACCAGAAATGACATGTCAAAGTAGATTTGCAATCTGAGCCGTTCAAAAGGGGGACCGACACGTAATCTTTCTTGAGTGAAAATTAATTATGTGATTTTTTTTAGTACTTCTGTTTACATTTTTAATTTATCTCTTTACACTTTTTATCTTATTACATTAAAAAAAAATAATTCTCATTGCACCATTATACTATTAAAATTAATCTTAAATTAAAAACTCTTCAAAACCCTTACACTGATAGATTTTGATAATATAATGTTAAAGAATTCAAATTATTTTAGTGTTGTATTACTAGACAAACTAATTTTTTCTAGACATTTGTTGTCGTTCAATTAGATGATTTTACTTTACTTAACAATAAATTAGTTGGCGCCTATTTGTGAAGTGCCTGTTCGGTGATATATTACAATACAAATTAGATTGCTCCAATGTTATTTTGCCGAATTAAAATAATTTGTCCAGCCACTTATCGTTTTACATGTGTTGTAGATTGTCATCATTATTGTCGCATTAAAGGCATTCTTTTGTTTCAATGTAATCAATATCTCTTTTAGTTGCATCATACTCGTTGACATGCCAACTAATAAAAATGTTTCATTTTCAGATAATCTACCATCAAGTAAGTGCCGTTCAAGATGTTCAACAGTCAGATGATTATACTTGCATTGTTGTAATGAATAAAAGCATAATCTTTCCAAGTAAATATATATATATATATAATATATATATGTAAATGAAATTGGAAATGCACAGTAATGAGTAACTGAATAAATTAAAAATGTTCGGCCTTGGGTTACCGAAATAGCAGTGATTTAGACCCCCTCAAACTTCAATCCCCACCACCCCCCACACACACGTGGCGGGTGGTGATTGGAGGAGAAGAAAAAAAAGAAAAAGAAAAAGAAAAAGTGACCAATCAAAAAAGAAAGGGGGTCAAAGGGGGTGGGAAGAGAGGGGGTCCAAATCTTTATTCTTACTGAAAATGTATCTTTTATTTGGCAATGAGTTATCGGACATATTTTTTGTTTAGCAATGGGATTTCAGACTATTTTATTTTGTTTGATTTTGACACATCGAACAAAAGTCGAAGAACATATCAAAAATGTATTTTTTATTCGGCAGTGGGTTATCGGACATATATTTTTTGTTCGACAATGGGATTCCGGACTATTTTATTTTGTTTGATTTTGACACACCAAACAAAAGTCGAAGAACTCTCTTAAAAAGCAAAATGAACACCTATCAAACAAATAAAAAAACCTCACAATTTTACTTATTTATTTTATAGTTCTTTACTACCGTTTCTTCATCCATTACTTTCTTTTATGATCAAAACGCTATGATTCTCACTTTTTGAAAAGAGATATGTAGCAGAGAAAAAAAAACTGGGAAGGAAAGAAACGCAGTAAGGATTGAAGAGTATTAGGAGTATAAGGAGATAATAAAATATATTTAATTTTAGTCTTTTGTCCTTAAAAGTAATTTCATACATAGATAAAATTGGAAAAAAAAAACTCATATGAAAGACGTAAAGAGATACACTAATGGTGTAAGTAGAATCACTATTTTCTTTTAATCAATAACATACAAGCTTCTTAATTTTAATTTTTTTAATAAAAAATAATTTTTTAAGGGCACCGGCCAATTTTGAATCTTTTGAGCCATTAGGGCCAACTTTGGGCCAAAAGGACAACTATTTATTAAAACTAACTTATTTGTTTATCTGTTGAAATTCAATAAACTTTTTATTAAAATGTGACACGTGTCACTTATTCAACAACTTATCTGTTAAGAATCACACATTTCTCTACCTCACTGCCACCACCTGTTACCGGCGCCTACTAGCATAGGCAACTTTTTTGGCCCATTTTTTGGCAAATTTTTTTAGCGACCTTCACAACGTGTCTTTATCACCAAATAATATTATTTTACCTTAGATCTAATACTTTATAGCCTTTTAAGATGGACTTTTGACCTTTTTTTTATTTATTTTTATTTTTTATTTTTAAAGAAATGCCAAACGAGGTGAGTGGAAGGAAAATGCTAGAAGCTCCAAAATTTCTACCAAATGTTTTATTAAATGTCTCACATGGATGTGGACTCCACACTTATGTGGGACTCACCCCATGTGAGACATTTAGTAAAATATTTGGTATCCTTAACATTATGTTTAGTTCAAAAATATCAAATTTTCACTAGAAGTCAAAAAACTTTTAAAATTTATTGGAAAATTTAAAATAAAGAAGGGTTTAGGCCTTGTAACCAAAATAAATTTGGAGTTTTGAATTTTGTCAATTTTAATCTTCATCTTTTGGTTTATTTTAAATCTAAATCAGTTATCTATTTTTGTTAAGTAGAATTAATAAAAAAATAATACTTCAGCCATAATTAAAGTGAGCACAATAAATATTAACCAAATACTATTTGAGACATAATTAAAATAATAATTATAGTAGATTATAATTAAGTTACAACTAAAATCACAATAAATCATGACTAAAAATTAAAAAATGGTGTATCATAGTCGTAACTGAGACATATGATATGCTATTTTTTTTAGATATATGTTATAAAACTATTTATTTATTTTAGTATTGGGAGAAAGTTATTTGCTTGGTCCTAAAATAAGGACAAATGTACATTAATTTAATATTTATTGATTAAAATATAAAATTGAATATTATTAGGGTGCTTGGCCA